CATTTCTCCCCACCCTGAAGACATTTACAATAATGACTTGGGAACTTGCAATGGAGAGAGAGCATTGAACAACAGAGTACTATTTGGGCATTTTTAGCATTTCAGAAGTCACGTACTACTTGTAGCTTGAGAAATTTTGAAAGAATTTTCTAAATGTTGGGTTCTTGAAACAAATTAAAACAGATATCGGAAGAATTTTACAAAATTGCCAGTCTTTTGGGGAAGTTAATAGGCTACAATAATTTACTGAAAACAGCACGTTCTCATTTCCATGTGGTTCACTATTCATAAATGTCCCTTACAATAGTGTGTATTATGAAGAAAGGTGGGGGGCAGGCACGTGGGTGGCTCAGTCAGTTGAGCACCTGACTTTGGCTCAGGTCATGATCTCTCAGTTTGTGAGTTGCAGCCCCACATTGGGCTCACTGCCAGTCAGCAGAGCCTGCTTGGGATGCTACTTTCCCCACCCTCTCTGCCCCTCCCTCACAAGCGCTCTCTCAAACGTAAATAAACACTTAAAAATATATGTCAAGGTCAGCATCAACCTAAACAATAAAAGTTAAAACTTTAAAAAACAGTTTTAGTGAGACCTCTCATTAACAACGTTTATGAAGTAAAAGGTTAAAAAAGAATTCCACAGTCCACATGTTTTGAATGTTTGTCCTTTTAAGTAGTAGGTTAAGGGGTGTGTCATTTTCTTTTCTTTGTGTTCTATTTCCTTTCCAGCTGTTACATAGTGACATGGTTTGCACCTTCAGCCATCAAGGCGGTTGAAAAAGAAAATAATCTGTCCCTCTGGATTCTAGTTATGGCTCCGCACCCCAGCACCTGTAAACTCAAAGTCAAAACTCCATGGATGCCTGGATTCCAAGATTAAACCTCTACTCACAAGCAAAAGGGTTGGTTGGATAGGAGGTGGGGACAAGAAATTGTTTGTTTATAGAGAGAGAGAGCTCTCTAGAGAAAGAAGCAGAGAGAGAGAGCGCACGCGAGAGAATCCCACACAGGCTCTACGCTCAGTGTAGAGCCTCACGCTGGGATCATGACCTGAGATGAAATCAAGAGTCGGATACTCAACTGACTGAGCCACCCAGGTGCCCCCAAAATTATTTCTAATTAAAGAAGTGGAACTTACAAGCAATAGTAATGAAACTTCAGCTGAAAAATACTAGACTTTCTAATGCATTTGGATATTAGGAGCTGTGATGTGAATGTCCCTATTCATAACTATTGCAGTAGGTTGAGATCATCCACCAGGGAAAGTCGTTCATCTGGTCACCAGACAAGGGAGGCTTGGGTGGACTTAGTTAAAGTGTCTCTTTAATGAGGTGGGGCTGTTTTTGAGAACATGTGATGGGTCTAAGTTTCCTGGTGCAGAAGTGTTAGGCAGTGCGCTTTATTAGGAAAAGAGGAATCTGCAGAGTATTGAGAAACATCAACTTGTTGCCAGTCAGGGCCTCCCTGGCCACAGCTACATTGATGGGGGAATCCGTAGGATGAACAATGCCCATGTCTAATGTTGTGTTTACAGTTTTCCACCTTAATGTAAGTTCAAATGCCTGCTTTGTCACTTACTAGCCTTGTGGTTTAAGGAAAGTTATTTAACCACCCTAAGCCTCACTTCGGTCATCTGTAAAATGGAGATAATAATGGTCGCTATCTTACAGGGCTGTTTAAGGGCCAATGTATGTAAAGCCTTTTAGCACAGCACCTGGCACATCACATGTGCTAATAAATGATTGAAATGTGTTTACATCCTTTTATTACTTAGACCATTTTTAAATGTGTCATTTGTATGTTGTGATGACAGTTTGCAAAACAATTCACACCACTTTGAGGTTTCATGTGTAGTAGGAAGCTCTGAGTTCTGCCCTGGGAAAGGGTACTTTGTTGGCTTTCTGTGGAGGAGTTTTGGAAATAATTGGTCTCTCCCACCCTCCAGGCCTTGAACTTCATCTGTGGACTCTAAAAAATGCAAAAGAGCTGGAGAGAAATGGCTACCTGCTGTGGAAGACCAGGCCCACCCTGTATCCTCAGCCCTCTGCTCTCTCGCCTTTGGGCCTAAAACTATGTGTGAACAAGAAGAGCAGCTGTCACTATATGTATGAAGGCACCCAGCTGGGGGTGGACAACATCGAGACCTGCATCCAGAAGGTCAGCATCCAGCAGAGGGGACATGGGTCGGTTCACTGGGGGTCTGGAAGGTCACACCCTTTAGATCAAGTAGGGGAAACTGGTGCCCAGAGTAAACACCAAAACCCAGCGCGGAGGCCCTCAAGTCCATTCCCAGAGCTGATTCAGAGATTTAGGCAGCTTCTCCCCTCACCCACTCACAGGCCGACAATGGGAACTCAAAGAATAGGGCCTTCCTTCCTTCCTACTCTGACTGCAGACCTGTTGGTCAGTAATGGCCTCAGGGAATTGTAAACCTTTTGGAGAAAGAAATCACAGGCGAGGGCTGCAAACAGACAATTCAGTGAAAATCTGTTCAATTCAAGGAGGCCTGCAGAGCTCTATTATTAGCTCCCGAAGCAGTGAGGGAGGAGCCTGGACGGTGCCCTAAACACCAATCCTCTTCAGCCCTTTTCTCTCTTCCATGGAGCCTACTTCAAACCTTCTCCATTGTTAAAAATCAGTACAGGGGCGCCTGGGTGGCTCAGTCGGTTAAGCGTCCGACTTCGGTTCAAGTCATGATCTTACGGTCCGTGAGTTCGAGCCCAGCATTGGGCTCTGTGCTGTTAGTTCAGAGCCTGGAGTTTGCTTCAAACTCTGTCTCCCTCTCTCTCTGCCCCTCCCCCACTCACTCTCTGTCTCTATCAAAAAATGAATAAACAGTTAAAAAAATATTTTAAAAATCAGTAGAGAAAAGGGGCGTCTGGGTGGCTCAGTTGGTTAAGCGTCTGACTTCGGCTCAGGCCATGATCTCATAGTTGGTGAGTTTGAGCCCTGCATCAGGCTCTGCACTGAGCGTGCAGATCCTGCTTGGGATTCTCTCTCTCCCTCTCTCTCTGCCCCTGTCCTTCTCTGTCTCTCCCAAAATAAATAAACTTTTAAAAAGTCTTAAAAGAAAAAAATCAATAGGGAAAAAACCAACAACCTAGTAGAAAAATGGGCAAGGACATTATATTTGTCAAGGTTCTCTAGAGAAACAGAACGATAGACAGATGGATAAATAGATTTATTATGAGGGATTGGTTACATGATTATGGAGATGGAGAAGTCTCAAGATAATCCTGTCTGTAAGCTGGAGACCCAGGAAATCCAGTGATGCAATTCAGCCCAAACCTGAAGGCCTGAGAACCAGGAAGGCTAATGGTATAACTCTCAGTCCCAGGACAGGAGAAGATGAAATGCCCCAGATCAAGCAGTGAGGCAAGAAAAACAGGAGCAGGGGCGCCTGGGTGGCGCAGTCGGTTAAGCGTCCGACTTCAGCCAGGTCACGATCTCGAGGTCCGTGAGTTTGAGCCCCGCGTCGGGCTCTGGGCTGATGGCTCAGAGCCTGGAGCCTGTTTCCGATTCTGTGTCTCCCTCTCTCTCTGCCCCTCCCCCGTTCATGCTCTGTCTCTCTCTGTCCCAAAAAAAAATAAATAAACGTTAAAAAAAAAAAAGAAAAAAGAAAAACAGGAGCGAATTCCTCCTTCCTCTGCACGTTGTTCTATTCAGGCCCCCACCAGATTAGACAATGATCACTCATGCTGGGGAGGATGATCTGCTTTCCTGAGTTTAGCGAGTCAAATGCTAATCTCATCTGCAAATGCCCTCACAGACATACTTAGAAATAATGCTTAGTCTAGGCCCCCATGGCCAGTAGACTTGACCCGTAATACCAACCATCATGATGTGAACAGAGTGCAAGTTCACAGCTACACATTTTCCCTAGTAGACACTCTCATATGTATGTCAAGAAGTGTGCACAAGGAACGGATTAAATAAGGTGTGCTTCACAGTGGGGTGGATTTATTTGTGTGGCTGTGGAACCATCTTCAAGACACGGGTTAAGTGAAAAACTGGTTCACAACAGGGTTCTGACTTTAGACTTGCGGTCTAAAGAGATTGTATGAATTTACACTGTTATACTCCTCCCAGTCATCGATAATATAATTTATTAGTGAATATTTTTTATTTTGGCCAATCTGATAGGTGAAAAATGAAATTTTGTTTCACTTTGGGTTTTTTTAACTGTGAGGGAAAGAATGAATTCCTTCTTAACAGATTTTCTTGCCTTGCACTAACAGAGAAATAGAACCCTCAGTGGGAACACCTTTAACCTGTCCCCACAGCCAAGCATATGCTCTTTCCTCCCTCACACTCATCGTTCCACGTTCTGTATCCTCCTCAGTCTCTGGAGGCTGTCCCCAGCTTCCCCTAGGTCCTTGCACTCTTTGCTCAGCACATAGCCCCACCTTCCCTCATGAGTTTTTATCACTGACATTTAAATTCACCAGAGTCTCCCGGATCTTAAACCACCACTCGGCAGTTGCCCCAGACCCTCTTTTCCTCTTTTGGGTTTAACCTCTTGAAAGAGTTGCCTACACTGCCTATTATCTGCTCCCCTCCCTGTGCTCACTCTGCAACCTACCTTCTGTCTCTACCACAATCCTTGAACTTGCCCCTCCAAAATCTCATGTGACTTCCGTGTTGCTAAAATCACCGGACACCTTCTCGAGCATTCTCGTCTGCTCCTCCAGCTAGCTTCAGTTGCCAAGCCTATATCTTTTGTCTAGATCCCTCAACAAGTAAGTAACTGATTAAGTAACTAACTGCTGGTACTGGTCATCCACTTTGGGGGTCTTGTGGGCAGCTCAGCTTCAGCATGCTGAAAACTTTCTGTCCCCAGTGCTCTCTCTCTCTCTCAGGCAATGGCTCTGTCATCCAACCAGTTGGCCAAGCCAGAGACTCGGGAGTGGCCCTGTCACTGTGCCCCTCCCCTGCCCTCTGTGGCCAACCTTGCAGTTACCCTTTGAATCTTCCTCCTAAGCTACTATACTAGCTCAGGCCACCATTTTCTCTGAGCAGTTACAATAGCTTCTTCTCATTCAGTTCTCCACACTGCCTGCTATAGCCCTTTTCAAGGGCTTCTTCCTACCCTTAGGATAAATTCCAAATTCCTTACCATGGTTACAAGACCCTTGGTGACCTGGTCTCATTCACTAACCACCCTCTTGCATTCTAAGATCCAGACCTACTGAACTTGCTATAGTTTTCTAATGCCTAACATTCTTGCCCTCTTCTGAGTCTTTAAATATGGCATTCCCTCTGCCTCTTCTTTTTTCTTCTTATTTTCTTCTCCAGGATAACTTCTACTCATCCTTCAGGTCTTGGCTTGAAGCTCTCTTCCTCTCTTCCTTGTTTCTTTAGTTCTGATTCCTCCAATAAGATTCAAATTTAAGACGGAGCTTATGCCCTCCTAAAACATCATTGTGCCCCCTCCCACTGGTAAGTACCAGATAACCTTTGCAGGAACTGATGTATGCATGACCATCCCCCATTTCACAATGCATTTTGTAAAATACTTTTTTTATGTTTATTTATTTATGTTGAGAGAGACAAAGAGGGTCAGGGGCAGAGAGAGAGGGAGAGAGAGAATCCCAAGCAGGCTCTGCACTGTCAGCACAGAGCCTGACGTGGGGCTCAAACTCACGAACCACGAGATCATGACCCAAGCCCAAATCAAGAGTCTGATGCTTAACCGACTGAGCCACCCAGGTGCCCCTCACAATGCATTTTAACAAAGAAGTGTAAATAGAGTCTTTGCTTTTGTGGAATCATTATGGAGGAAGTAGCTTAGCCAGAAATACCCTATGGAGTTAGAATTACAATTCTAACTAATTTGTTAGTGTTGTCCCTCTGGTGATAGATATTAAAATTTACAGAAAATTTGTAATAGTGCATCCCCTCGTCTTCTTTTTTAAAACCCTGTGTGTGTAAAATGCACATATGTGTGTCAGAGAACAACTCTGCCAGATTGGTTTTTGTAGTCCAGTAGTTTGAACTAAAAAATCTGTGAGAAGATTGTTTTTTTAGCAAGTTTTCCAAAAATAATCTTGAGGCAAGACAGTGGGAACTGTGTATTTAAAAATGTATTTTCGTGGCTGCTGTACACATACAGTTTGTATTTCTGAAATTTTAACACATAGGCACCTGAAGTGCACTGTTGAAATCAAATAGTATACACATTCCAAGGCTCAAGGCTGACCAGTGTCAGAATTACAAGTGTCGATTGTTGGCAGAAAACAAAGTGTTTGGAAGCTAGAAAACATGGCTGTTTGTTCAGATTAATTCTGAGAAGGGGGGATGGAATCAACGAGTTTGTGAATCCAAGCAAAATTCAGACAGAATTTCTAGGAATGCAGTCAGAGTGAGAGCAGACCTTTTAGAAATGAAAAGAATTTAAACACCAAGTTGAATAAATGAAGCAGCAAAAGAAATGGCGTTGACCTAGCTGTGAAACGAAGAGAACTAAAGTAGTGAGTTGTTAGCGGACCTCGCAGAATTCCCAGTAAGAGGAAAACAAAACAAAAAAACAGGAGTGTTCGAAGCGGTTTTCTTTTCCTTAAGTCCACAAGTGTATGGATGTCCCCACAATCCACCCAAGCTCCCCTCCTCAAAACAGGCCCCTTCCGGACACTGTAGCTTCCTCTGCTGCAACCCCTCCCACCTTCTTACTCACAGGGAAACCTGGGATTCTCCTCACCCAACCACCGGCCTGAGTCTTTACAGCTCCTACTACTTAATAGCTCTAGGGCCTGTCTCTCCACAGCTGCTAACCTGGTACAAGCCGTCCCCCCCGCCCCCCCCCCCCCGTGCCACCACCACCCCCCACACCAACACAGCTTCTGCCTGACCTGAGGTCAGGAAGGAGCATCTGTGCTGTCCAAGCAGTGCTATCTAGAGATGGACCTCTGGGTCACAGTCTGGTTCCAGCACTTTCCAGCCAAACAGTGCTGGCCCAATTTTTCTGTGTCTCAATCTCTTCTTCTGTGAAAAGTGGGGGACAGTAGCATCTGGCCCATAGGGCTGCGTGAGAATTAAATAAGCTGTGTATAAAGGTCATAGAACAATACTTGGTCCGTAGTAAAACATGTTACATAAACATTAGCTACCATTTTTCCTTATATCCTTATTCCCTTGCTTCCTTTCTTGACTCATTTGAACCTATTTTCCTGGAGCAAATCATGTTCAAATAAACTGATCCTTCAACTTACTGCTGAAAACACTTGGAGAATTTCCCTGTGGCTTTTAGAGAAACCCTAAATGCTTAAAGAGGCTGACAGGGCTGGGCTTGGGCTGGGCCCTGTCTCCCTCTCCAGCCCCATCCTGTACCCCATCCCCCTATTCTCAGAGCTCCAGACTCTCTGACCTTCTTTCAGTTCTTCAAACCCTCAGAGCTTCCTCTCACCTCAGGGCTTTTACACAAGCTGCTTCCTCTGTCCGAAATGCCGGAATGCCGACTCATCCTTCCCGTCTCCACAGGAGCCTCATCACTTCCTCAGGGAGACCTTGCCCAGCCTCCCTAACTAGGTCAGCCCTCACTATGGCACCATGTCTTTTTCCTCCATGGCACTTCTCAGGGTTCTCCTCTGACACATTTTCATGGGGTAATTAGATTTACATTTCTCTCATTCCTACAGTGGAAGCTCTGTGAAGGTGGAGACCATGTCTATTTTCCATTTATTCCAACCCTCAGAGCCTGGCATAGTTCCTGAATATAACACTGTGCGTGCTCAATTAATATCTTTGAGATATGGAGGGGAAGGAGGGGGGAAGGGAAGAAAAAGGTGTGCCCAAATGTCCTTGACTGTTCTGGAGGCCAATCTGCCACGAGGGTGTGTGGTGGGTTCAAGGAAACCTCTCCCACCACAAGCCTGTGTGCTCTTCCCTCCTCTCGCTGCCTTTGATTCATTAATGTGTTTCATTCACAATTAAATTCAAGTGTTTATTCTTAGGAAGAAAGGTCCTCACATTGGCATTATAATGTGACCTTTGAAGGCAATTTGTGGCATATTTTTTCTCATGCAGACATTTTGTGGCTCCAAGGAAGGACAAGGTCCTAGGCATGAGGTTGCAGGGGAATAAATTCCCCCCAGCTACATCCAAATGGGATGCTTGACCAGACTGTCAGCTTGCTCCCTGGTATTACCACCCCATACTGAAAAGCAATCCACATAAGGAGCTCCAGCACCAGCAAAAGGTAATGCAAAGAAGAGAGGAGAGAAAAGGCTTCCGGGTTCACCTTTTCCCACCATCTAGGGAAAGCACTAGAGAATGAAGGTCAGCATAAACAGAAGCACTCCTTTCTCTGAACTAAAAGCAGAAGAGATAGGCATTCCTCTTGCTGCATGTGGGTGAATAGAGATGGATTCCAGAAGAATAAGAGAAAAAGGAATGTCAGAGTTGAAAGTGATGTTTTACCCCCGGTCCATCCTCATTCTTACATCCAAGAACCAACTGAGGGCGAAGAGGTGAAAAGGCTTTGCCTGAGGCTACACAGAGGCCTGGGTTCCACAGGGAGGCTGAAGGAGGAAGGCAGCTGAGGTTTTTAGTGGTTTGACATTGAGCTCCTGTCCATAGCTCAGGTGCTTCACCCTGATTAAATCCTGACGTAACTGTAGGAAGCTGTGTCATTACCCCCATTTTATAGATGAAAACCCTGATGGTCAGGAAGTCCTGGGACGAGACAAAAGCTGTTCAGTGGAAACTTTCTGAGGCTAACACTGCAAAGTATCCTTGGCCTTGACTCTGCACCTGAGCAGCCTTATCTGTAGGGTGACCACATGCTCTGGTTCACCTGAATCAAGCCTGGTTTATACCTGTTGTCCCAGGGTCAGTAGTAATGGCACCTTCTTTTGCTCTCAAAAGTGCCCCAGTTGGGATAATACATTTATCATGTGATTACTCTAGTATCTACAAAATGGGGTATTCATATTACCTGCTCATGGAGTTTTCGCAAGGAATCAATGGGATTTCACACGTAAAATGCATGGCATCTGGCATGTAGTAAGCACTAAATAGATGTTAGTGGTTATTGTTACTGTTATTATTATTATTATTAGGAAGGTATCTGAAGAGGGGGCAGCAAGGAGTAAAGACATGGTTTCCCACTTGACATGCCCATCACGGTCTCCACGAATGGCGCTCCCTGGAGTTGGGCAGTGCCTATTCAAACTGACCTGTTGGGAATGGCACCATCCACTCTAGCCTAGAGGCCATCTGGAGGCACTGAGCTTGCCTCTTCCACCTCTCCATCAGTCACATTCACTGCTTGGGTCTCTTTGGGTCCCAAAGTTGAAACTGATTTTTTTTTTTCCCTTTTACTCTAAAGTCTAAAGCTTAGATTTCTTAAAGAGGAAGAAGAGTCACAGAGAATCCTATAGAGGATCCCCTCCCCCCAGCCCCAGCCTGTGCTTAATTAAGTGAGTGGCTTAAGGGACTTGCCTCCTCTTCAAGATTAAGAGGTGGGTGTGAATATTTTCCTCTGGCCCCCTTATATGTTCTTGATTACAGTAATAAAAATGCTAAGCTCTATTGCCTCTCACTGGAGTAAAGGCAGCTGAAAACTCCTCATTCCCTGAAGAACCTAATTGTTGATGCTAGTGCATCTAAACAGGTGTTCTTTAGATTGCTTTTTCTAATGCCTTTTCACTGGAAAGATCAATTTAAATGTTGCTTTGAGCTAATCAGTGATTGCTTCTGTATTCATCCAAATTTATATCTTTGCTTCTGCGTGCTAGATGAGACATTACTTTCAAAGTCTATAAACTTAAATAAGGGAGGTGATTTCTAATTTAGCTCTTTGTCCTCTTCTGTCTTCCATATTTTATGCAAAATATGCATGTATTTCTTTTTGTTATTTAAAATCCTAGTTGAAACCTGTGTTTGAACGTCCTGAGTCATCTTTGGATGTCCTATAACGCCACGGGTGGTATGTCCTACAGAGTGGGTATTCAATAAATATTTGTGGAAAAGATAAATTCATGCCTTAACCTGGATTGCAAGCACATTGGATTTGTGGTCCCTAGGTGTCTGAGTTCAGGAATTCTTTCAATATTGTCTGAACTTTCTTGTGTCTGCATCTGTGTTTATTCTGCTCTCTCTGCCTAGAATTTCCCCAGTCCCGTCTCTCAGAAAGCTCACGTTCACGCAAGGTTCTCATCAAATGCCAGCTGCTCC